GAGCAGATGTTTATTTCCATTTAACAGATCAAGCAAAAACAGCTTTATCACTCCAGCTACTGGGAGAATGGGTGATTTCTGTGCTCGGGGAGGTACCTTCACGATCACACCCAGATTTGATTCTAGGTTTGTATTCTGTCAGGTTTCTCTGTTGGTCTGTTAACAGAGAAAATAAATCTCTTTCCCTTCTATCTCTGTTATAATCTTTTATAAGCTGTTTGCTTTATGTCACCTGTTTCCCACACAGTCTTTAGCAGCTCTTTGAATGTGAAGTGAAAGACTTTGGCTAGAAGTGCTTTGAGCAAATACTGCTCACTAATAACTTGTTGTTTCAGGGTGTTCAAGACGCCGGGTTTGCGCACGCCCGCGCTCAACGAGCGCGTTTACACCATCTCTGCCAACGGGAGCCCCCTCGCCGACACCGGGGACGCCTTCCTGACCCTGCCCCTGGGTGGAGGGGAGGTAATTCCTGGCATTTCACCTGCAGGGGCTGGAGGGGTGTACAGGCGAGGCTGAAGCTTTGAACCTCTTTCTGGATCCCTTTTCCCACCCACGGCGTGGGGTGGCCCAGTTCTAGTTCCGTTTCCATCTGAAGAACCATTGCGACGCTTTGAAGGATGGGGAAAGGGAACTCCAGGGCTTTCTCAGGGGTCTTTTCAGGCCCTGAGCCTGGAGGGGAGAGGTGCTCCCCCTCCCCCCCGCACGTGGCCCCATGGCCGGCAGGGACACAGGACACCGGGCGTGGAGAGGAGGCAAGAGAGCGTTTATTGTGGGGGATGTTACATTTATAGGGTTTGGGAGGATTCACAGAGTAACCAATAGGGTTTAGGAGGATTCCCAGAGTAACCAATAGAGTTTAGGAGGATTCCCAGAGTAACCAATAGGGTTTAGGAGGATTCACAGAGTAACCAATAGGGTTTAGGAGGATTCCCAGAGTAACCAATCAGAAGTCTCAAGGGGTTTACAGAAACACCCAATCACAGGAAGAGGTTAACAAAGGCCAATGGGAAACACCTCAGGACACCTTCCCAGGACATTCCTGCATGGATAACACAGGGGTTATGCAGGACATTCCTGCATGGATAACATAGGGGGTGCTGGGAGGAAGAAGCATGTGTTTGCAAAGAGACCACCAAAAGCCATTTTAAGACCTGTTTAAACCACAGTTTTCCCATATAATGCAGGTTTAGTGCTACACCTCTTGGTGCCTCACCAGCTTCAGTTCATCCGCTCGTGTCTCTTTAGCTGTGCCACTGCAGTTTATCAGAGGATTGATCAAGCTTAAAAAGAACCTTAGGAGACTCTTAGTCAGAAGTGGCAGCTGCTTACACTGGTCAGAACAGAATAGAAGGATGTTTTGCTGTGTGTTCAAGTAACACTTAAAGTAGCAGTAGTGGCAGTAATGCATTAATGCACTGCAAGGAAGATGTGAGTTGAGCTGTTGGTCAACCTCAATGTAGTTCTCTGCCTGTCTGCGGTCTCCTATTATGCTTAGATGTAATTACTTCTATTTTTTATTTTTTTGCTGCCTCAAGCTGCTGCAGCTGACCAAAAGAAAACCTAAGATTTGGGTTTGTTTCCACAGAGCATACGTTTGACAGCAAAAGATTTGACCAAGAAGAATTTTCTTCAGCTGAACCCCAAGGCCCGGGGGCTCATGAAGAAGTTGTCAGTAAGTCCGGGTGTTTTTGGCAGCCATGACCTGAAGCTGTAAGGCAGTGCTGTCACTGTCATCAGTCAGGGGACTGCTGAGCTGCAATAGAAACCGCTGATTCCCTGCCTGGCCTTGTCTTGTATTTTGGTTCATGTCGGAGCAGGGAAGGAGAGGGAGGGGCTTTACATCACATCTGGCTGAATACACACTGGGGAAAAGAACTGTTGTCAGTGCTCTGGAAAACAGAGTGTTGTCCGTTGGGCCAGAGCTGGGGGTGTTTGGGCTGCACCACTGTCTGAGCACTGACTGATCTCTCTTTCCTTGCAGGTTTGTCTCGCCCAGGCTTGCAGCGAGGCAAAGAAACCCGTGGATGGAAGTCAGTGAGCGATGACATCCCTCTGCAAATACGTGTTACATTTAGGACTGCTACCTTCATTTAGTTCTTCTCATTTGTGTTCCTTTCATTAATTTACAGAATGAAAGCTAAGAGCTAGTTTTTGTATCTATGATATGTACTGTATGTAATGGAATCAAAATAAATTGCCCTTTTTTTTTTATTTTTGAGGAAAAATCAGTCTTTATTTCCTTTAAGGCTGAGACCATGACACAGTTCTCTTGGGTTTGCAGACCAGCAAGTGGGCAGAAAGGCTGTTGATTGGCAAGTTAAGAGCATTCAGAGCAAAGAACTTGGCTTCTCTAATTCTGTTTAGTATTTTTTTTTCTAAAAATAGGCCTGTTTCTTTGTTAGTTGGTGCACTGTCCTTTCCAAAGGTGCCTCTTTGTCCTCGATTTAAGCCTCTTTACAGGGCTATAAACAAGGATATTGAGACTTTGGAACTTTTGCTATGTTTGAAAAGTTCTGCTTTTGGCATGGTTGAGAAGGGAGATGGGGACAAGCTGCACTCAGAGCTAACTGAGGCCTTGGTGTGGCTCTTTGGTGCAGTGTGTGGTACAGGAGAAAGCTTGTAGAACAGCATTGATACGTGACTTTCCTTTGGAGATCCAAGATGTTACTGTAATGCAGACCTCAGCTATATACCATGGATTTGGAAATATATTTAAGTTTTGGCAGGTTCTAAGTCCTAACTGCAGGTGGCAATATAAACCACTCAGCTGCATGTACACCTGCCTTGCTGTCATGGAATTCTGTGAACATATTAATTAAAAGCACCGATTAGTTAAGCTCTAAATAAAAATTTTCCGTATTTACAGACGTGTAAGTCAAGATTCTGCTTTAAACACGTCTTTACCAGGGAAAAAAATTAGGCTAGAGTGCTTAGCCTGCCCAGAGAATTTGCTCACCGACTCGCAGTTACACTCCTGCATGTCTGGGGAAGGGGGTGCACGAGAGGACAGGAGGTGGGAGGTGTTCAGGGCATGACCGTGCGTGGGCTCTGCTCCCAGTGCCCCTGGAGCAGGGCTGTGCCTCCCAAGGGTCCCCCAGGGAGCACCTGGAGCTGCAGCCACGGTTCCTGTTGGTAACAGAAACCACAGTCCTGCACTCCACGGCTGTGCCAGGGTCACACAGCCCTGCAGCCATCAGCCCAGAGCAGCTTTCCAGGGAAAACTCAAGAGTTATGGGTCAATCTTTCCCATAAAGTACAAGCCCTGCTCATGGTGCACAGTTCAGGGCCACGCTGAGCAGAGCAGCACACGAGCTTCATACACAGTTTGAATTTAACTCCTTTGCTGGGGGGTAGAACAGGGAATAGCAATAAGGTCTCAGGTGCTGTTGTGACCCCCTCCCTGAGTGGGGCTGGGGCCTGGCTACAGCCCCAGTCTGAACACTGCCCTGGGGGAAAGCTCTGAGTCTGGTGCTATTGGATGTTCCTGTGTATTTAACTATTTCCTGAAATAAAAAAAACTGTGAATTTTCTTCCCACTTATCCCTGAAACGGTCTGAGAGCCCTGAGGCAGGATGGAGGGGTCGGTGAGCAATGACAGCCTCCAGTTCAGGGTCTCTCCCCTCCCATCGTGTGACAGAGTCAGGGCTGCAGTGGGAGGGGGGCAGGAGCAGGGCTCTGCTTCAGCTGGAAAGCTTATCTCCCACGGAGGGTGACCTTGTGGTCCAGGAGCCTGGGAAGCTGGATCCTGATGGCACTTGATTGATGAGATCTGAGGAGTCGTTCTCCCTCAATGTCAGTCGGCTGCCTCTGCTGACTGCAAATGAAGGCTCGAGAAATGGGACAGTAATCGATGCCAGATGGAAGGTGCAGTTGGAAATGCCCCTGTCTGGAGCGTGCAGCCAGTGGGATCCTCGGCCAGGACAGTGCTGAGGGCATGGCTCGAGCCCACTGAGATGCTCCTGCTTTGTCTTTCTGTCCCCTTTGATTTCACCAGGGCTCAGGATGCAAAGATGTGCCAGCACAGCCCCAGCACTTTGGCTCAGCCTTGCTGTGCCCGGCGAGTGGACAAAGGGATCATGGGTAGAAAAGGTCTTTTTGCTTCTGCTCTTCCACCTGTCACCTCCCAGACTTTTCAGAGTGGGGGACAGGGCAGCATCTTCCACCTGCCATGCTTGAATGGGCCCGTTCCATCCCGTCCCATGGCTTAAGGAGTGACCGTGGCTCTGCAGGGAGGGACCAGAGCTGCTCACAGGGCTCTGGGTGACAAATCACTGTGACATTGTTGAGGGGAGCATGTGCATGCAGTGACGGGGTTGTAATGAATTAAGTGCTGTTAGAATTGCTGCAGGACTGCTGTAAGGAATGTGCATGTGTTGTGAGGAGTAGGACACAGGTGTGATGGATATTGTCCATCAGCTGTGATAAAAAACCTATCATCCCAATATATATTTTCAAAAACTAATTTAAGGCTGAAAGAGATTATTAAAAATGAGGAGAGGAAATTGTCTGGGTTATATTTTAAGTCCCTTGCTAGGTAAGATGAATTCCAGAAGTCAAAATACCGCCTGTGGAGTGAAAGGAATCAATGCAGGTGTTGTGGTGGCTCATGATAAGAAGACAGGGCAATTCCACTGCCGGGGAGAGCATCTGGGGAAAGATAGCCCTTGTCTGGGACTGGTGTGCTGGGAACCAGAAGGCTGAGCTGATCCCACAGCACAGGGACCATCCTGGAGCTGTCAGCCCTCCTCAAGAGAGTGGAGCACAGCACATCTCTGCCCTGAGCCCGGGGTCCAGCTGGTCCTTTCCCACCTCGGTTCCCTTCCCGAGGCTGTGGCCGCTTTGCAGCTGGGCAGTGGAGACATGAGCTGGTGAAGGATCCTGGGGGTTCCCAGGGGAAGTAGCTTCTGCAAAATGACATTTACGAGCAGCCTCGCCTGGAGATGCTCGGGAGAGAAGCCCCCACACCTGGTGCTGGGTGGGCTCGGGCTCTGTTCCTCTGCATTTCATTCTCTGTCACTAAGAGGACACATGTCCCTGCACCCCAAGTGCTGTGCCAGCGTGGGTCTAAGGAGACAAACATGGCCAGCCTGCAACCTGCCGTGCTCTGGACATCTGGAAATTTGAGTTTTGATCTTGGCTATTCCCTCACTCTTTCATTTATCTCTCTGTGCTGTTCTCAATGACAAGATCATTAGAAACCCGGTTGCTGTTGCTGAGCTCTTCCTCCTGAGCCGTGTGTAACCGCGGACAACGTCTGCAAGACAAGAGGCTTAATTGTGTTCTGCCAGCATCGAGGGGCTGTCAGCCAGGCAAATTTAAAGCCAGGCTGGATGGGGGTGGGAGATGCACCTCCATTACTCACCAGCCTGGATGAGGTTTAGCTTTATTGTATCCAGAAATAACCAGAGCCTGGGAGGTGCTGATTGAAGCCATTTGAAAACACGACAACATCCCCGGGACGAGAGGTGTCTAATCTGATGAGGCCAGAGTGCATTAGGTAAGAGCTGTGCAAAGGAAAACACAATTAAAGCATTCCTGAGGACAGCTGTCGACCTGCGTCAGGGACAGCAGGGCTGAGACACGGGCACGTGCCTGATGAAAACAAATGATCTGTTTGAAACATTCCTCAAATCAATAACAGAGCCCAAGCCACTGCTGGGCTCAGCCTCGGAGGGTCCCACCAGCCACAAGCTGGTGCAGGGCCATGCCTATGTGAGGTTCCCCAGGCAGGGCTGGTGGCACCTGCTTGTGCAGCACTGGGGGCATGGCAGGGTTTTGTCTTTGCAGGAAAACAGCCCAGGAACAAGTCAGCGCCTCATTCCCAGTGATGGAATAAGGGAGCCGCTGGGATTAGTGCCCGTGCATGGCACATCAGGGCTTTTCCCAGACAAACGCCCTTCCTGAGGCTGCCAGACTGACACCTTTCTCACAGTGTGTTGACCAGGCAGGATCCCTTCCCTCCATACAGAGTTTTGTAAGTTTTTGTCTCTAAATAACCCCTTAGAACCCTTCAGGCTGGTGAGGTGCAGGGGCCAGTGCTCTGGGCAGGCAGCAGTCTCCCTGTGTCACCACTGTGGTGTTGGGGAAGTGGAAATGGAGGAAATGCTCCTTTTCCTTCAGTGCTCAGAGTGGATTGTGCTTTGTGCTCTCCCCAAATCTGCTGTACAGGACCTGCATTAAGGATCTGGGTTTCCTGTTGCACATTTGGACAGAGACACCTTCCGCTCTCCCTTTAGACTCCTGCTGTTATAAATAGTAATTAAACCCACACACTTCTGTAAATTGCTGGCAAAAGGAACTTGTATCAAATCCTGCTTCTTTGGCAAGAGTTTAAATTGACAGTGACAAGCTTATTTCTAGAAGAAGGTTCTATTTTGGGGAGCTTGATTCATTGTGCCACTTGGCGTTCTGATGCAGTGTGATGTGATACCTGACACATCCTGTTCCCTGCAAGGCAAAGCAGGGATTTATGCATTGCTGTGAGGCAGAGCCACCCGGCTCTCATCAGGTGAGACAACACTGTTAGCAATGATTTTAACAGGTTCAGGGCAACTCTTATCCTTTTGGAGGTCCCTGAGCCTGTTTTTCCCTGGGGATGTACAGCATTCCTGATGTACATTCCATTACCCTGAGAACCTCTATTTACAGTCACAAACCACCATTTATCCAACACACAATTGCCATCATCAAGGAGCACCTAAATCTCACAAAAAGCCTTTTCATTGCCCTGTTAATCTCTTTGTCTCCTGGTATTTAATAGAATTCACTTAAAAATATTTCACAGCATAAACCCCCAGGGCTGAGTGCCATCCCTACAGCTGCCTGGAGGGACAGCCCCACCACCTCCATGCTTGGGACACCAGGAGCATGTGGCTCCACTGTCCTCTCATCCTGGCTGCTGCCCCACTGCTGCCCCATCACACCTGAGCACTCTGTTTAACCCCTGGTGAACAGAGATGCCACATTCCCCTGGGAACTTGTCAATGGGGAACAAACTTCATTATGAAGAAGGGACTTGCAAGAAAAACCTGAATTACCCAGTCCTACCAGAAGTGCCCATTTGCAGAGCACTCTGTAAACAGTTGTGCAACAGTCCTCCTGGTCTGACTGACTCGTGACAGCCTGATCTGCCAACAGATCACAGCTCATTAAAATGACCTTTTAATTACCGACGTCCTCGAAGTCAGACACCATCCTGAAAAAAAGGGTTGTGGGGGCAGGTGCCTGGGGAGAATACCCTGTAAGTGCTCTTCATGGTAATAGAAACTCCAGAAACCTCAGAACAACTTCCCATCTCTCCTCTTTTCCCTTTGCCACTGCTGTTGGGGCTCCAGAGATGGCAGGAAAAGGGCAGCTCCTGCTTCCCCAGTGATGGCCAAGCCCATGCCACAGCAGTGGCTCTGGGACCAGTACAGACCTGCTGACAAAGCACAGCTCCTCTGCTTTTGTCTGTGCCCCTTCAGGGGTGGCAGCTGCCCAGGAGCAGCCGCTGTGCCGAGCGATAACGGCAGCTCTTTGTTTGATGCTGAAGGTGCTTGTCAGCCTCAGCGAGATAAAAAGGCCAAAGACATTTATAATTGTGCAATTAAATGTCTCCTGTGCCTTCCAGGTGGCTGTTGCTGCTGTGCAGATGTCCCTGCTGTCAGCAGGCAGCCACGAATGGAGAGGCAACTGTGGTCACCCACGGCAAGGCTGGTGGGTGCTGCTGGATTGCACCCAGCCCTGTGCCAGTGTCTCACAGCACCGTGCCAGGGTCACCCAGCCCTGCACCAAGGCTGCCTCAACTGGGATGTGCCACAAACCCCAGCACTTGCCTCACCCCTGGCATCCCTCAACAGCTGGCACAAGTGCACTCACCTTGTCCCTGGTCGAGGTGGGTGCACCGGGGCAGCCTGGGGGGCACTGGGAGCCCATTCCTTGTGAGGCAGAAGGAGCTGAGGGGTCTGGCCTGGCCAGGCACTGGGAGCCCATCCCTTGTGAGGCAGGAAGAGCTGAGGGGTCTGGCCGTGTTGCAGCCTGTGCAGGGCTCTTCAGGCACACCGAGACCGTGGGAGGTGAATATGAGGAGGAAAGAAGGATCTGTCCTGGCAACACTTGAACTGAGAGATCCCTGATTACGATGATAGATGGCACCTGCTTTTCCTGGTAATTAGCAGTCATTGGTATTCAAACCTTGCTCTTCCTCCAGAGCCAGGCTCTTTTAGCATTCCCTGGGCAGGGGGACACATGCCAGGAAGGCCAGGCTTGTCTGACCCCAGCACGCTGCTGTCAGGGCTGCAGTGGCTCGTCCTGGCCTCACCAGCCATCACAGCAGAGACAGAGCTGTGCAGCCTCACTGCTGGGAATGTCCAGAAGAGGAGCAGGGAAAATGATGGATTTTGTGTCTGAGGCTGCCGAGTGGGAGTGAGGGGTAAGAGGAGAAGCCCTGGCTCCTCCTTTGCCCTCCCCAAAACATGGAGCCACTGGTGGGGCTGACCAAACACTGTGGCAAATGCTTTCATCAGCACCATGCAATCAAAGTTTTATTTTAAAAAATCCTCCATACGAGCAGCACCTGCCAAGTGCTGAGGCCATCCCTGACTGAGCACTGCTGCACCTTGGGGTTCCCTGGCTGAGCCATAACAGCTCATTGATCCCCATTTGTCACCAGAGCTGCATCCTCTGGTACAGTGTGGGGATGAGTGGGGTGCACGGGGTGCAAGGCTGGTGCAGGGCTGGCACAGGGGGGTGCCAGGAAGGTCACAGAAGAGAGACAAACCCATTGCCACAGCCCACAGGAGGCACAGCTGCCAATAACTGGGTAAAATCTGCCTCTGCTTGGCTGTGACTGAGAATTTGCTGTTCATCGCCCTGCTCCAGAGCTCTAATTATTTCTTTATAGTGCCAGTACAGCCCTGGCCAGGCTCCGAGCTGAGGCTGCCTGAATTAATTGACCAACAGAAGGCAAATAGACTTTGCCCATTCTAAGCACCCATTCAGTCCTTTCCCAGCAGCTGTCACTGCTGTCACTGCACCAACCTGGGCTCCTGTGCCTGTTCCTGGGCATTGAGCAGCCTGGGAAAAAGAGATGTGAACGAGTGAGAGTCGCATCAAATAATTTCTAAATAACACTGTGCAGAGTTTGCATTTCATGTGCTGGCCACACACAGTTCTCATTTACTCAACTGAACAATTAATTACATGGCTTGCTCACAGGAACTCTGCAGCATTTTCCCCTTGCTCAGCAGCATCCCCACACTCACACACCAGCCCCTGCATCAGACTGACCATTGCACTTGAACTGACAGCTCCACACTGCAAGCACTTCCATGGTTATCTGGTCCTTGGGGTGATGGGAGGGATTCCAACCTGCCCAAAGAGCATCTGGCCCCACAGGCCAGGCCATGCACCTTTCTGTCCACACAACACACACTAGCAAAGCAAAGTAGATGTTTTTGTCCCCACTATGAACTGTCAATAGCAAGAAATCACCCCCTCTAGCCACTCTACAGCTGGAGCACAGGCTCCCACCTTGGCATACACATTATTTAACAAAACAAGACATCACTTCACACCTAGCTGCTATTAAAACTGTCCCTTACCTGCCACCTGCCACCCTTGCTAAAGTGGCACTTCCCCCCAGAACACTGAAATGACCCACACAGACAAGCCAGGGCAGGATTAGTGGTTGGTTTTACTCAGGTATTTAGATATCTTTTTATTGCCATCTTCAGTCATGGTTCAATAAATACAAAATTAACAAAAATGTCAATAGATTTTTATTACATTTATTATTGTTATTATTATTATTATTATTAAATATTTCAAACCAACTGAGATTCCCTGGAGATGTCTGACTATAGCTCAAACATGAGATGCACAGTGTCTCTTGTGATATTATATTACATTTATCTCAAACTTATAAAAATATATATTGACTTCTTGAGTGTGTATTTACAGTATTTAACAGGTGGCTAATGAATATAAAAGCATCTGAAGATGAACCAACTTGATTCCTGTTTGGTTTCATGCGAGGGGGGTGTTGCAGGTGCTGCTCCCACAGTACTGGGACTCCCCCAGCCCGGGGAGGAGGCAGGAGCCTCACACTGTGCTAGAGGCTGGATAGGAAGAGACCAGAATCGTTTTGAGGCATTTCCCTTGGTTGAGCAGCTCCAAAACAGCATTGCTAATTAATTTAATTATACCACTTCCCCAAGGAGAGGGTCTGAGAGGATGCAAGTTAATTTTAAAATCATAACAACAATCTATAGTCTAATTTACTCATTTTGTTATTCCATGTTGGCAAGGAGCTTAATTAAAAGTGTTTATTGTTGCAAGAAACTGGGCTAGGAGCATGTTTCCATTGTGGGCTTTCCTTTCCTTTCTTGAAGGAGAGGCTGGGAAAGCCAATGACTGATGTTTCTGCCGAGTTAGAGCCCGTCCCAGAACTCCTCTCCTGTGGGACCCCTGCCCGCAGTCACGGCTGTTTCCCACAGGACCCACGGCCCCCAGCCAACCACCAGCCACTGCAGCCCAGGGAAAAGGCCATGACTATAGATAACTGAGCTGAGGTCTATCTCTTTTCAGCTGGGCAGCATCTGTACGGACAGAGGAGCAGATCCCAGCAGCTCTGAGTGCAGCCACACGTGGCATCCACAGCTGGCCCTCCTCGCATCCCTAACTCTGGAGACAGTGTCTGTCCTGGGGGGTTTGAGGGCACACATCACTGCCTGCTCATGGCCAGATCTGTTGCCCAGACTGAGGCACTATCACCTCATCACCAAGTCCTGCATGTCCCCAAGCCTCCTTGACAACAGCTGCACCAGCCTGGAGCCAGCTCCTCCAGCAGCCACTTCCCAGGGGAGCTCCTGCACCCGACGGACAGGATGAGCAGGGAGAGGGGGAGAAGACCTGGAATCAAACTGGTTCAACCCCCTGCCTAGAGATCTGTAATATACTTTCTCTATAGATAAAATGTAAACATGAAGAACACATAAATTGCACTTGATCCTTGGGATTGGGCATTTCACCAAATGCAGGGCTCAGTTCACTGCTCTTCCTCTTCAGGGTGGAAAACAGGGGGATGGCAAGTGACCAACCTGACTGGACATGGGCCAGACAATTTATTTCTGCTAAAACCTCTAACCAAGAGACATTGGGGAGTGTTGTTTGAACTACAGAGGGGGTGGGAAGGAGAGAGTTTGTTTTGCTCACAGTGTGTGCGGGCAGAGCGATCACTGTGCTGGACCCAAGGGCTGCCTCAGGGCCCTTCACTCAATCCTCATTCAGATCCCCATCCTCTGGGAGCAGGCTAACAGGAAGGTCTGACTGGAGCAGACTTCCAGCCTCACTGTGAGCATCTCCCACAGCCTTCATCCTGTTTGTAAATCTTTGCCTTTCAGCATTAATAATTCACTTGCAATACTTATGGATGATAATAAATGCCCTACAAAACTCTGTACAGGGCTGCAGAGACACATTTAATAAACTAACTTCAAGGAAATTGTATTATTAAGGAGATGCTATTTATGTCTTCGTCAGGGATTGGGCTGCAGCCATGGGAGCTGCCAGTGTGCCAGGCAGGCAGCACTGTGCTCACAAAACAAAGTGTGGATGTGCCCTGGACTGCCTGATGTGCCCTGGATTGCTTGGATGCAGCACCATTTGCTCTGCTCTTTATCAGAGACACCAACTGAGGTGTCAAACACTCAGTGAAGTAACTCTCAGAGAAGAAGGGATGCGGCTGGGAAAGACTTTCCTTCAGCACAGATGGGGAAAGTCACCTCCCAGGAGCTGGGTGAGAGCTGTGCTCTGCTCTCTAAAAATAAAAGCAGTAAAAGCTCCTTGTGGGGTTGCTGGGATCTGTCAGGTTGTATAAAAGTATCCATGGATTCACCAGCAGAATGCTAGATACAGAAACATCAGCTCTGGATTAAGACAGTGCACAAAAGTCCATCCCACCCTGTGAACTCAATTATCACCTAAAATGGCATCACTACAGTTTGACTCATCTTACAAAACAGTGCCAGGGAGAGCCACGTCCACCCAGGCACACCACATTATCCCAGGAATCCTGGGCTGCCCCAGCTCAGGGGATGGAAGCCCTGCTCTCTTGCTACATGGAATGACATATTTGGCAGCACCCAGATATTCCCACAGCCCACCTGAGACCACCAGGTTTCACAGACAGGGCTGGCTGGGGCGAGTGGGCAGCTCCTCCCCAGGAGTGCCAGGCTGGTGCTCTGCACCTTTGCAGGGCACTGCTTCACACCTGCACTCCTCGGCCGTGCATCTGGATCACCTGGGCCCGGAGGGTCTGGATCCCACTCAGGATGGTCTTCTGGTGCTCCACCAGCGTGATCCCCAGGCTGAGGATGTCTCTGCAAAATGAGCCCCACGTCAGCCAGGACAAACCAGCCCTGACTGCCACGTGCCCCGACACCGACTGCTCCCAGGCAAGGGCAGCACAGATTCCAGACATGCAGGAGTAAGAAATCCCCAACCTTTTGTCCCAGCTGAAGCAATACTGACACTCAGCAGGAATCCCGGGCTCACAGGAGCCTGTAGCACGCCAAGCATGGGACAGTTCCAGCCCCATCACCCTGTGCTGTGGCACAACAGCTTATCAGTAAATCACACTGGATTGGGCTCTGCTCTCTGCAGGGGAAGGAAACACTGATCTCGCTGTGCCCACGACACAAGGTAACAGCCACAAAACCAGGTCACTTACTGGGTTGTCATCCTGGCCACTGACTCCAGGTAGCAGTAGCCCGCAGCAGTGAAGTTGTCTTTGTACCTGCCCATTTCTATCGTTTCCAGCCACTCGCCTACAGAGCTGAAAGATGGGAAGGCTGAGAAGGTCTGCTCGGAGAAGGGGATGGATGTGCCATGGGACCTGCCAACAGAGCGGGTGGTGAGGAGGGAGCAGGGCACAG